GGAAGGTTTCACGATCTGAGTAAACGATGCCCAAAGCTTATTAAATTTTTGAAGGGAACTCTTTTCCAGCCTGCTGATTGGCAGTGAAAACAAAACACTCGGAGATATTGAACCCCAAGCTTCAATTGATGACGGTAGAAAAGTTGTACCGTTACCCGGCACGGCGGAAGTTATTCAAACATGGCGGTGAAGGACTGACAAGGTGCATGCTTCGGCTTCGGATGAAAGCATGCCCGAAGACTGGAACATAAGGGTGCTTTGACAAACCACAAAAAGGAAATCCCACAATCTGCGCCAATTACCGTAGAATAAACCCCCTTAACATCGCATATAAGGTCCTATCGAGCATATTCTGTGAAAGACTAAAGTCATTCGTTAACAAACTAATTGGACCTTATCACTTTGGCTTCAGACAAATCAACCATTGACAGATATTCACCATGAACCAAATCTTCGAAAAGACCTGTGAAAAAAAGATGGACAGCAACCACCTCTTCGTCGATTTAAAGCCGCCTTCGACAGCACCAATAAGAGCTGCCTTTACGCCACTATGTCTGAATTTGGTATCCCCGCAAATTTATAAGGCTGTGTAAACTGACCTTAAGCAACACTAAAAGCTCCGTCAAGATCGGGAAAGACCTCTCCGACCCATTCGATACCAAACGAGGTTACAGACAAGGTGACTCTTTGTCATGTGACTTCTTAATGTTATTGCTGGAAAATGTAATACGAGCTGCAGAGCTGAATAGGAAAGGTACAATCTTCTATAAGAGTGTACAAATACTGACTTACGCCAACGATATTGACATTGTTTCCATTGCTACAGAATTTAGTATTTGGTTCAAAATATCTGAATTTTAGCGCTAACAAAATGCTCTATTCTTAATAATATTTCAACTCCTGTTGTACCGATAGGAGATTTCAACTCTTGAAGTTGCCTTTAGAGCCCATCGGTCGGAAACTCCTAGTCCTTGCAGACGATATTTTCTCTAGCCGACTGCTTGCAGAAAACCTGGTGAAACTATTCCAATGATTGTAGCATTTTATATTTAATAGGAATGCAGCCCGCCTACAGCTTCAGCTGCATAGAAAAAAAAAAGAAATAACAGTAGCTGAATTTATAGTAGTGATAGAACCTGTCATGGAGAAAACCGCGATTGTGATAGAATATCGTATTTTTATTTGAAGATTTATAACAGCTGAAGGGATTTTCGGCCGAGCTCCTCGAACATGCTTGGAGTGAAGTTTAATAAGCATTAAATTGAGTGATTTCAAAAAAAAAAAAAAAAAAAAAAAAAAAAAAAAAAAGTTATAGATCTACTTTGTAGTAGGATCAAAGGATGGAGGAGAGTTTTCGTCGGAAATTGAAATGATGAAATCTGCACGCATACCATTAGATTTCAACTCTATTTTTTCGGAATGAAAAACGCTGGCATTCATGAGGAACTGACGATTCAAAGCCCATATCGACATGGATTTGTAAAAATTTTTGAGAAAAATACGATCCTGTTACTGGGATTACTGAGGAGAACTGCTAAATACGTCTAAAATACGAGTTTGGCCACATTCTTCGGAATCTTATGAAATTCGTTGCTTACAAAATTTTAGAGTTTAACTCCCATTGACTGTTCAAACTAATAAATAAAGCGATGCATGAAAAATAATTTTATTTGGGTGATTTTAATATCTAAATAAATTAAAATATTTCTTAAGAATTTTTTCATTATTGGATGTTTACTCTTTCAAGAGGGTTGAAAATATGAACGTACTAAATCGATGTGAACAGATCTCAGCGTATTAGAATCAGTAGCGCCTTGAGCGAAGACATTTCGGACAATCCTCCACTACACAAATCGCTATTTTCCATTTTATAAACGATCCTTCAAGTCTAGAAAATTCTATCCGACAACAAAATTATTATAAATAAAAAACTCAATCAAGCTCTGCTCTTTTATATACTAAATCTGAATTCAAAGCGATTCCTAGTTATTATTCCTTAACCTTTTTCTTTGCAAAATGCCTTAAAAAAGAAGAAGAGGAATGGAGATTGCGAATTTTTACTAATTTTTGCCTCTCCTTGAGTACTTGCACTTGCCCTCAGACAATTAAAAACCAAAAAAATAAAAATTAAATCTTATAGTTCAGAACAATAAATACTTCGATAGGGCAACCCTTATCATGTTTACATACGTATTTACTATTCGATACACCCTCACGTCACGGTATTTTCATAAATATGAAATGAAATATAATTGTTAAAGTACCAGAAGGAGTAGAGAAAAAATACGAAATGAAGGAGAGGGCGGCCTGTTCCACTGTTTGAAAGCAAATTCACTACCTTAGTTTTTGGGATATCAGGCAAATATATTTTTATACAGTATAAAGCAATGGCTGGAATTGGTCAGATCGAACCACTGAAATTTATAAAATAATATATGAAATTTTTGAATATGAAATCGTCAAGAAAGCAAATAATTATTGAGTTTTTGATGGTTTTTCAACAATTGGTTTGCCTCTTACTTTTGTGCTGTCTCCGAATGGCTGATGTCGCGTTTAGAAGAATGTTTTTTTGTTGTTCTGGCTAAGCTTCGATTCCATAGTTCCACGTACTGCTAACCATTCGATTTTAGCGGCTACTTCTGAATAATTTCAAGGAAACCAGATAGTGAAAGCACCAAGTTGGTTAGCCTTGAATTGTTGGCTTTTAGCTTCCATTTTCAACAAAATTTTCCGTACCATTTAGCTGAATCGCTGAAAAGGAACCGATGCTCAGAAATAACTGTGATAGCAATTTTCCAACATACTCTCTTGGTTTTAGTAACATTTTTCTTTGTTGTAGGAAGCTGTACACAGAGAATGAAATCCCTAACCAAATCTAAGAAGTCTCTAAAAATTTGGATACCTCGTATAATCGTCCATCATTTCTAAGAGGCTAATAAAAACAATAAAAAGTAGTTTATAATTTGTCAATGATTTTATTGTTAATGTAGCTAAAATTTGAAGAAGGAATTTCTCAAAGCCTTTGAAGAGATAAGGACAAACATGCTGAAAGAGAGTTCAATATTTTGCGGCTTCTTTAAAAGCAATAAATACTAATGCACTTGTAAACACATTGAATCCTTTAAGAAATAATTGTGGTAACATTATTTATAATTAACAAACAAACAAAAATTTAAACAATGGTCCTTACTCATATAATTTCTACCAAATAACAGCAGATAACAGAAGATAATCTTTTCTCTACCTAATTTTACACAGCGCGAAATTCATAGTGTGTATGGAAGAGCGTGATAATGAAGGGGGACTAGACAGGAGTATGATAAACTTGGTCCTAGTGCTGTAAAATCAATGCAGGACTTCTTCCTTTACTCTCACCTTTTTCCTCTTTTTCTATACCTTTCTCTCTCTCTCTTTCCCTCTCTATTTTTCTTACAATTTAAAGCAGAATAGATGATGTTTTTGAAACACTATTTTTATGTTGATTTGAGGTAATTTTTGTAATATTTTTAGATTTTCCTTAAGTACGTAATTTTTGCAAAAATAAATTCCAATTATTTATATAATTTTTTTTTATAAAAAATAATTTTAATTTTTTAATATAAAACGAATAAGTTAATACTTATATTGTATACATTCGAAAACGAGCGACGAAAATAATCGTTTTTCTTAAATTTTTTTAAATGTAAAATATTTAAGCAAAAAAAGTATTGGAAAATATTGGAATTTTCCAATGTTATGATGAGTATTCTGATTTATTTTTCTAATTTTTATGATTGTCTGAAAAAGCTGGAAAATTCCAAATATTTTCGAAATTTCAAAAAAAAAAAAAAAAAAAAACACTCAAAGAAAAAACTTTAAATTGCAAAGAAAGAAACGGTAATTACTTTATTCCTTTAAACATTGAAGAAAAGAAAACTCAAAATAGCTGCAGATAGGTCAGACAAAATTCCACCACCAACGCAAACAGACCTTCTCCACATGATTCAATGACTGCTTGCTATGATATCAACAGTCCGTTTTTGACATTTAACATTATCTCTGAACGATGTAGCATTAATAGCGGCATTTTGTTACGAATAAAAACCAAGTAACATTTATTTTGATAACCGATTTAACTACATCATTAACATTTAAGATTAAGGGCATATTTATCATTACTATGCCGCTTTCATTTGAAGGAATCTTCGCTGGCTTGCAAATGTAAAGGGTGATCTTTACAACATTAACTATAAATCCGTTTACAAACGAAAAACGCTTGCTACCAATGTGTCCAGAAAAAGTCACAGTTTGATGCGGCTTATGGGCTGGTAGCATCATTGGACCGTACTTCTTTAAAGATGTTGCGAATCGTAATGTAACTGTGAATGGTCAGCGCTACCGTGAGATGATATTAAACTTTTTTTTTGCCCAAAATGCAAGAGCTTGACTTGCATGACATTTCGTTTTAAATTTTATGTGTTTTTTTTTTAACTTTCCAATAGCTCTTAAAAACTGACCCTTTATATAAGATTTTTACATACTTGGGATTAGTGCAGTGCGGGCAGCTCGGCACTTCAATGAGCTTTACACTTTGTATTAATTTATTTAAAATTATAGGAGAAAATTATGACAGAAGAATAAAAGATTTACAAATGTTTGCAAATAATTACCTCCTTCTTTTGAACACAATTCGCATACGAGTATGTACAGGTGAGCATTAATTTTTTTGTTGAAAAAATAAATCAATTTATGGAAAGAAAAGGTAAATCAATTTAACCTTTGCATTTTTCTTATAAATAAGGTAAACTTAAAGAGAATATGGAAATTAAAATAAGTTTCCCGAAAAAATTATTTATTTATTTAGTGTTGATAATTTTTCACAGTGTAGAAAGAGTTTTTTCATTGTTTTGCCGCTGATTACTGCTGGATAACTTTTCATTTACATGGCGTTTTCAAAAGATAGATTAGATCAGCTAGTAGGTATATTTTTGGGTAGTTACAGCATGAGTCGCTATGTTTGTAGGTACCTGCAGCATATATGTGAGAGAGTCTTACGCTGCTTGGTACGTCAGTTGTATAAAAGGATACTCCTTCGCCTGCAAGTGAGCAGTTTTAAGAAAAAGTAAAGAAAAACAACTATAACTAAAAATTATAAGCTGACAACACCCTAAAATGAATTTCAACGCTGCAAACAAACTTACGGTACCATTATTATTTGAAAACGTCCAAAAATTACACACGAAAACTTTATATGAACAACATATGTGGCAAGTGAATTACGAAGAATTTATCGCTGCCGAAATGAAACGTCAACAAGAATGTATGCACGAGAAAGAGTCGAATTTCGTGAGCAAAAAACTTACAGAGAATCCAGTGGAGTTGGAGTGTCGTTCGCGCTCACCAAACAGCAGTAGCACCGAGGATGCGAGCACTAAATCTGAGGAGCGAAATCTCAAAGCCGATCCGGAGCAAGCCTTGCTACGCGAGCAACGTGCTGCATCCTGCCGTAAATCACGCATCAACAACAAGTTGAAGAAAGCTACGCTGCAGTACCGTAATGAGTTTAAAGCTCAACAGCTGCAGGAAGCAGAGAGGGCACTCAACGAGATAAGAAAGAAATTGAAATTTGCTAAGCAAATATTTTTAGTTAAAGGTCACACTGGAGCAGAGTTGGCGAATTTGCATAAACTTTATGGTGTAGAGGATTTTAATTGCCAGACGAAGTGAACAGTGAGCGGCTAAAGCGCCAGAATACATTAAGCAATTCAGTTTATATTAAGTGTTGACAAATGTAGATAAATAAAAAATTAGTAATTAGGAGTAGGACATCATTAGAGCTTCATCATTCTGCCTATGTGTCAAGTAAAAAATAAAAGTGTCTTGGTAGAATAGAATCATTTTTAACTGAATTATACACTTTGCACTGAAATAAGGAAGTTTAATGTGATGTGAACTGGTTTTCTTCAAAATTGTTAGTTGCTGGTTTGAGCCCGAAAGTGTCTGGTGCCTTATCAATCTTAATTTTGATACTTTAATTGTTATTTACTAAAATATAACAGACTTTGCTCGAGTGTAATATTTTCTCTAAAACAATATTTTTGACAATTTTCCTTAAAAATTTATTTATATTTTCCTTAATCATCTATTGATTTACGACTTTATATAAATATGAATGCAATGAGCAAATGTTGGCTCCTTCACGTTGTCATTACATATTTTCTTCTTCATTAGCATGTCCGAATAAAGAAAAGCACGCTATTTGTTCCTTCTCTTCGCTGTTTGGCGCCATTTGAAAGTACCACGTACAGGCAGGTCCTTCCCTAGCTAGTCTTTTCAACAGAATAAGGGTCTTCCTCTTCTTTTGCATTCCAAGCGGGCTCTGCAACGAATATTTTCAAAGTTGGAGTGGAGCCGCTGTCTCTTCATTCGATGAACTATGTCAATGACACCGTATAACTCGTACAGTTAGTTTATTGGTTCATCGTCTGTGGTACTCCCCGTTGCCAATGCGAAGTGCCATTAGTCGTTCTGAAAAGTTTTATCCAGAAGACTTACAGGAGTGACGAATCGTATATCGACAACGTCCAGGCTTTCGCACGCAGAGAAGCAATGATGAGCGACTTGTATAGCTTTGTTTCTGTTCGTTCTTTTCACTTGCCTACTCAGTCCTAAGTGGCACCTGTTGGGAAGAGTGAATCTGCAATGGATTTTACGGCTGACAATATTAGCCTTCTACCTTGTTTCTATATCTCTGCAGCTTTTGCTATTTTCTCCGATCACAAACATAAGGAATCACCCTGTCGGGGCCCTTTTTTTTGTACCTTCTGTAACAGCGCGGGAAGATCCTTCCTAATTCAGAGTTCTGGTGTTGCCTGGCGTCAGTTTCGCAGGAATTCAGCCGAAAGCAAATAGAAAATCAATAAAGAGATAATGAGTATTGATTTCTGAGATTTGTCGCAAGAATAGCTGCGAGCACGGTACGCTGGATAATACCTTATGAAGGGTGATTTTCTAAGAACTATAGAAAAGTTTTAAGAAACCCATAAAATTCAGAAAAATGCATGAAATCTTTATTTGAACGTTTGAATGTTTGAGATTATTTCATGCAAATGTTGACCTTGACTGCACCTCAAATGGTCCATCTATCCATTTGGCATACTCTCTCCAACATTTCGGCCGGTGTCTTACCAATAAATGCTTCAATACTGTCCTACAATGCGTCAGTTAAAGCGGGCTAGTTTGCATAGACTTTAGATTTAAAATAACCCTACAAAAAATCGTCTAAAGGCGGTAAGCCGCACGATCTAGACGTCCAATTGACCGGTCCCGAAAGTGAAATAAAATGTTCACTGAGCCCGTCTCTCAATAAATCCATTGTTACGCGTGCTGTGTTGCATGTGGCACCGTCTTGTTGAAACCACGTGTCATGCAAGTCCAGCTCTTGCATTTTGGGCAAAAAAAGTTTGATATCATATAACAGTAACGCTCACCATTCACAGTAATGTTAGGATTCGCATCATCTCTGACGAAGTAGATCCAGGGTAGAATTTTAGGGGTTTTTGAAGGAATTTTAGGTATTTTAGTATTTATCTATATTATTCGTACAAAATCAGAAAAAAATTGAGCTGATTTGGAAGTAAATGCGTTGCCTAATGCAGGAGCAGATGGACTTTTTAGCATAAACTGCACAAAACTCCGCTCAAAACTTCCCATACGACCATTGGGTGAAACAACGCTCTCTAAAATGCTTCGTAAATTTTAAGGCGACCATCCGAAAATTTCAACGCAGGAAATATTTTTTATTATCTATAATTCCCATTGATAGAAAAATAGTTCTCTGTTTCGATAGAAATTTGGTCAGTACTAACTTTGCCAGTGATTTTTCGGACATCCCGCTAAATGGCTCCAAAAAAGAAGCACTACAAAAAACAATTTTCAAAAAAAAACTAAAAGTAAATATTTCCATTTTTTTTTTATTGAAAAATCAACTAAATATAAATTTTCTCAAACCTTAAAATTCAAAGTTCATTTGTAATTTTAATAGTTTTACATATATCTTAACTTTCTTAACATATCTATCGCATAATAAATAAATATTAAATATTAAAACCAATAACAACAATTCTTATTAGCCTATCCCAACCTTTTCATCTCTCACAAATTTTCAGTCATCTCAATTGAAAAACTCGAAGAATGATTTATACTATATGAAAACCGTCATTGAAAGCTCTTTGAATACAAGTTTTGTGGATCGGAGACTTTGAGTCGTTCGAATGGATTTTTAATTTTTAATTTACATACTCATGAATCTAGCAAGATTTTGTTTACATTAAGAGCGTTTAAAAGCATATATGGAATTGGTCATTTCATACATTAGGAAAAGCCATTGAAAAACAGTAATAACAAGAAAAGATTTTATAAGTTTGATAAAAATAAAAGAAAATATTGAGATTAAGACGATAATGCAAAAATCATTTCTTCAAATTTTCGAATTAAATATTAGAGCTTTTTGAGCGTTGGAAGTCGTAATTTAGAGAATCGTATATTGATTTATTGCGGATAATTCTCTCGAGCGCGTAAGCTCTTGTCTTGGCGATATTAATTGGCTACCGAGATCGTGCGATTTCACACTATTGGACTTATTTTCGTGGAGCTACCCGAACGATCGCTTTTATGCGGATAAACCTCTAACTTGAAATCCAATGTTCGTTAAGTTATGTGCCAAAAAATGGTCGCCAGACGGTCATCTAATTGATGTAGTTTTTTACATATAATGACAGGATTCAAATTTTATGGTGAAATAGTGATTTTATGAAACAATTATTTTAAGTTGTTGGTTTTCATGGATAACCCTGTACAATATCTAAGAACATTGGTTTTAGTATTCCATCGATGACTGATTAGGTTACAATAATGTATAAGAATTTGCTTTTATGATCTCTGTAATTAATTTTTTTTTTATTATTTTACGTCTTTTTATATAAATTATTTTCTTATAAAACTTGATCACTTGTTGTTTCTTGCATTGTGGTATTTAACTGATTGCACTTTGAACTAAATCTAGGGGTAAAAATAATTTTAATTTTCTTATTTTTTTCACTTTAATCGTTTTTCGATTTTATCACTTAATAATAAACAACAACACACAAATCAGGTAATTTTCTCGAAATAATATCGAGTCCAAGTAGAGTCCAGTGCGATACATTTAATTCATTCGTCTTCATAAATAATTGGTGTCGATGATCGGCGGCCTTCAAATGGTGTGCTACTATATGTTCCCGAAGTCGTATTGTCCGCATCGACAACCATTTGTATATCAGGCAAAGGCCGCCAAACATTCTCCGACATGCGTTGCTGATTTAACGCTAACAGATCCTCCTCTTCGCGGCTATTAATTATTTCTACGGACGACGATTCGCATAAATTAAGATTGTTTATACCACAATTAATGTCTCGACTCTGTGGACAGTTAATCTCTTCGTCGTATGGAGACTCGTCATCCAGTGACTCGTTAGCCGTATAATATACAGAGCTATCCTCACTTTCATGAGTAAAGTTCAGAACTTCTATTGAGGATGACGACTCCGCTGGTTCAGCCATTTGTGCAAGAAAATATTCAAAGGGTTGCGTGTGTCGTCGATGAAAGCTGCCAACGAACTACTACGAAATAAATTTATAAATTTAGCAACACTTAAACTATGTTAAACAAATTTTGCTCAGTTGAAGAATTTAAGTAAATTCTTTAAATTACCTGTTGACAGAAAGAAGAGGAATTGGTTCAATACAACAAAAGAACCAAAAGAACCAAAAGGGATTGGTACATAAAGGTCAAGAGTTTTGGAAAACGCTTGAATAACTATTTGGAAAACTACCTGACTAGTCTGAGAAAGGTTGTATACAGTTTCAAGATATTTGTAGCATAATAAAACAGAAACGCCCAAAAAACTTCTATTCGCAAATAAATATATATGAAAATTTTAAATAAATAATATACCTAAATAATACGAGCTGCAGAGCTAAATAGAGAAAATACAATCAATACAAATACAAATGTAAGAGTGGCTGGCGTACGCCGATGATATTGAATCACTCTTACCCACAGATGCTATCTCGGACTGAGAATTCAAAAATTAAAACTTTTATCGACGAATGAAATGCTCCTTCTTAAATTAAATTTAACAGATTTATAAAGTTCAATAACATTTCGCAATAGCATTTGTAAGGATAATGGCAGTTCAAATGGAAAGTTGACCCCTTCTTTTGTAAAAGTTTAATAAATAAAATTTTTCACTCTTGGCTGCATCTTAACTACAATTTCACGTTAATCAACAAATTTCTCTCGAATCGTTTGAAACATTTGAAATGTTATCGTTAAAGCAATTAACAAAAATAATTCCTTTTCGTCTTTACCCGAAACGAAATGCTGCCGTTCATGTTAAATCGCTAACAGATAATGTTAAATGTTAAAATTAAAATTTGCTGTTAACTTCATACCAGGCAACCATTTTAAAATAATCGTTAGTGATGAGTTTGGCCTCGAAACTAAAAAAAAAAGTCCGTTAACCCTATTTTTTTATATTAACAAAACGAATTGACATTGTTTAATTAGTTGAGCACCTCTGATTTAAGCCCTTTTATTCAATAAAATTATATTTTCCCAAATTTTTATGATAATAGATAAAATATGAAGATAGTGATGTTAATACGGGGATTCCCGTACTTATGAAAAAGGTTCAAACAAAATTTTGAAAAATATTAGAAATTTATTTTAATATTAGTAGTGATGCTTCTAATTCTAATCACTTATTTATCACTTATTATCACTTATTTATTTTGGGACTGTCGAAGATACTTCTGTTGTCCTTCAGTGCTATTTTCTTTTCTTCCATCTTCTTTCGCCCAGGGTTTGGTACATAAAATGATTTTTACGTTTGTCGCCTGGTTTTTGTTTTTGTATTTTACTGAATATTAAATGTTTTTCTAACACAATATTTGCTTCGAAATAATCTAAAATTGTTGGATTAGTTTTACTTAACTACCTCTCAATATGCCATTGGCACTAAAAACATGTAAACAATAAACATAAAATT